AGGCAACTCAAAATCATCAAGATGATTTAGGAATTAAGTCTCCAAAGCTATTTTGATGTCTAATTCCTATTGATTCTATTTTGCATTCAAGTCTGAATTTATTGTGGGTTTCTAACTTTGTGCTTATGAATGCCAAAAGGAAAATTTCTCTGATATTCTCTATGCTATACCTAAAATTAATCTCTTATGTCCTTGAAATTTAATTAAACCAGATAGTCTTTTAAATCGTTTGCCCACCATATGTTGGAAAAAGAGTAGCAAAATTAAACGAATAAATCACATCAGAGAGTAAATTAAATACACTGTTTGAAGGCAACCTCTCTCTCATTTTCCTCATTGTTAAAACTGAGTCAATGCTGACAATAAGCATTTAAAAGTGGTCACGACAAAGCACTTCAGAATGCATTGTACAGAAAGATGTGCATGCAAGGCATTGAATGGACTAGATTTTCTAAAGTGTTTTTCACATTCCTGATTGCTTTGATGTGAAGTATGAATTACATTCTAGACCTGATGGAGTAGAAATAAAAGCTTTACAAAGATGGAGAAAGCAAGCCATGTCAGAAATATAACCCCCCTGATTTACATGTTGCCTACTGTAAGGCTAAGTCAAGAGAATCTAATGCCATTACTTTGTAAAGCACAGAAAATGACTAAATTCATAAAGAGAAATTAAAAATTGAGGAAAAAAACTTAATTCATGTTTGACGAAAATTGTTTAAAGTCAACACCTAAGGTATGTCCATTATGACACCATAAGATAATACACATAAACCTATGCTGTTGAAAAAGTGTATGCAGAAAGCATTTGCCCAAATCTCAGGAAATGTAATTAGTTTTCAAAGGATGATTCTTCTAAAATACTCAGGAGTGTGAACATCTGAGAGGAAACCAGCAAAAGAATACTTTCATCTTGCTATTTATTTCTTTTCTGTTTCTCATCCTAGCTTGTGACCCTTTTCCCTATGTCTTTATCAAGGACAGATTTAGTTATAACTATGTATTATGCAAGACTAACTTCACATCCCTTTAGAAGGTCAAAGTTAATGACTGCAATGGCACTGGATTCTGTTACTCCAGTTAGTGACCAGTGGCTTCCAGCTGCTCTTTAATTTTGGTTTTAGAATGTGTAACAACACAAGTAGCCTGGGATTTAAGAAAGTGAGATCCTGTCAGGTTTAAAATGCATGAGTTTTACGAGTAATCTGATTGAAATAACGATAGAGAAGTTTGCAAAATCATTTGGACTATTTTACCAGCGACTAAGTTAGTGAACAGCACAGGTTGAAGACTATCTTTGGATGTGTCTCCATGGTGGGGTATGTCAGGTGTATGATATATATAGGTGTATATAGTATATTCAGTATGAACTGAATATCGCCTTGAGAATGAAGGGTCACTCTGCAAGCCCACCAGAAGGTACCCTAGGTAGGTTGCCCAGTAGTTCACCAAGCCTCTAGGTTAGACATAACCACTGTGTTAAGGGAAAGCACATGATCCACTATGTTAAGGGAAAGCACTTGAGGTCAGTTCTTCATCCCACATTTTGAAACATAAAAAAAAAAGGTTCTCGTTGTCAAAGGATCTAAATTTGATTTTCTCTTTCTGTGACTGTTCCTCAAAATCCTTTATATGTAACAGAACATTGGAAGATAATCTAAAATGTCAAATTGTAGTTTTGCCATAAGATTCTGCTGTTTTAGAGACAGTTTTTTTAACTACAACCATACTGCTAAAGTAAATCACAGTGGCAATTTTATTGTTCCTGTGGCTGGTTATCACATCGCTCGTGACCGCAGTGTTCAGCATTAGCCCCCAGTGGAGCAGGTTCATCTGGGAGAAAGCTTGTTGGTATGGTCCACGCCAGAGTCAGCTAACCCACAAGCAGTGTGGGCAACGAAGTTCCAGCACTTTGTTGACCCCCGGTTCCCTTCAGCAGCAGGGGGGAAAGCTCTTTGTCCACACTGCTTCATTTTGGGTGGAACCAGTTTAAGGGCTCAGGGGGCCAATTGGACACAAGCCCAACTCTGCAGTCCCATGGGAGAAGTATCATCCTAGCACAGACATGTGGGTCTTAATCTCTGCAGGCTTTTGTTTTTAATTTTCAACACTATCAGCCGATTTCATTGGAAAGGGTGGAGACCTCACCATCCTGAGCTCTTTCAAGCGACGTCTGGTCAGGTGGAAGAGCTCTGATGGGATCAGGTCTTGCCTGTGAGACTGCAGATGCTGGCAGCACTCAGAGGGCAGGCAGATACCAGGCTCCAAAGACCCGTTGGCTCCTGCTTAAATTCATGTGGTGGTTATGGAGCTGTGGCACTTCCAGGGCTAGAGGTGAGACCATAAGGACGGTGGCTTTGCTTGCTTCCAGTGGCACTTAGATGATCGCAACAGCTACAGCTTTGGTGTTTCTGGTGCCAGAGTTTTTGTAAGAGTGTAATATCAAACATAGAAACAAGGGGCAGGGTAGAAACATGGTACTATTAGTCTTTAAAAAAAGTTTTTCTGATAAAGGCTGGAAAAAAGCTACATAAATACACATTTCTTTGCAACCAGAAAACAGGTCTATGTTGGGAGAACAGGTAACAAACTGACCCAGAGATTTATCAGGGAGAAAGAAATTCAGATCTGCTCAAGCAGAGAAGGAAACCGAGTATGTGCTCCTCATACCCCAGGTGAATGCCGGGCCTCTTATACCCAGGGTAAATCAGCATTTACTGCAGCCCTGAATAAAGAACTCGCATGGGGACTCGGCACACTTCCCTTGGGGTTTTGTGAGAAAAAAGTGGCGCAGCCAACTACCTGTGGGGAGAAAAGCAGGGCTCTAAATCCCATTGGGAAACGAATGGCTCCTTACAGCTAAAAGTTGGGTGCTGAAGATCTGAAAGAATGCGATTTAAAGATCCCTGTCCCCAGTGTCAGATGGCTTCCCACCCGAGGTACTACAGTACCTGTAGGCAGGGCTGTGACGTTGAAGACGAATTGCTCAGCCCCGTGTGACAAAGTCGCGACCCAGCAGGGCACAGTGGAAGTCGGGACTCTCCAAGTCCTGCGTTGAGCTCAGTACATATTTTTTTTCCCCTCCCATAGATCCCTCAGGAGTAACAGAAATTAAATTTTTTAAAAATGAATGAAGTACATATGGCAACACAGCTGCTGAAAATCTGTTAGCCTTTTTAATCACCTCTTGTGTCCTGGGCATGCGTTTTATCCTTCAAACTCAGTAAAAGGGAAAGCGCTGTGAGGAAGGCAGCTCCCTGTATTATTGGGGGACTTTGTGGTGCTACTAAGTCATGCAAGAGAAGTCTTGCCTATGAGACTATCTAGAACTTAGGTCTCAATGGGGTCATCTTTAAAATACTTTACATATTTGTAATCACTAGAACAAGCAGAATTTCAGAGTTTTCACAGAGGGACTGCAAACCGTAAATAAATAAAATTGAAAAAGGAGAGGACCATGCTGCTTTTTCTTAAAGATGGTGAGCTTTTGAAATGAAAGGGATATAAACCCTGGAGAAATGCTGAAACAGCCTTGCAATCCTGCAATTTTCCACCTGCTCATGGGTACACTGTAGAATAGTCGTCAGGCTGAAGTCGCGGGCCTCCAAAGCACTGTTTACTGCCTATCCTCCTTCCGTAAACACTCAATGTCATAAGCAGTCAAAGTGACTATTTCTCATTTGGTAGCCTTGGATCACACTACTGGTTATTCATGTTTGTGTGTCAGCTCCAAGGTAAGGAGAGCAAGTCTGGTGATATATTCAATTCCAGTGCTGGAGCTGGGGAGAGAGAAAAATGCAATTATTGAAAGAGGTGCTTCTGTGAAGGAGCAGTGATTTACATCCTGAGTAGGGGTAAATTATCCTCCCTCCTCACCCCCAAGTTCAGCAAATGTACTCCTTATTCAATATCTTGCTGCTGTGATGTTCTTTCCTGCAGTCTCTGATTCTCTGTTAAGATCAGAAGGCCGTGGTTTAGTGGGAGATATGAGGGAGATGTGAGGGAGTGGGGTCTATGTGAGCCCAAGAAGTGGTCATTTTAAGTCAACAATGAAGTATTTGTCAGTTGAAGAGAAGGTCTTTAACTAGGGCAAGCTGTTGGACACACAACTCATTCCTG